AGGCCACCGCCGTCACTCGTCTCTGACGTCGTTATATCACTGACATTGTCGCTGAATTCTTCATACGTGTGTGTGTGTTCGCGAATTAAAAATACAAAGGTCGACTCGGCGCGGCGCGGCGGCTCGGTGCGTCCCGAGAAATCGCGGAAAATTCAGTCCCTCTATTTAATTAACAGCGCGGAAATATTTCGACCAGCTTTAAAGCTAGCCGACGGATCGCTTCTCTCTCTCTCTCTCTCTCCCTCTCTCTCTCTCTCTCCCTCTCTCTCTCTCTCTCTCTCTCTCTCTCGTCAAGGATATTTTTCTAATTTTACGCAAACATTTAAAAAAGTTGATGAGCACCGCGTCGTCGTCGTCGTCGTCGTCGTCGTCGCAGTTGCGAGGCACGTCGCGGTGTCCCTCAAGTTGTTTGCATTATAGTTGACACGCAACTCCCACTTCGTTGCGCAAAGTTCCGCGGTAAGTAGTTCCTCGTGCCTCTTTCCATCGCAATCTTCGTGACCGGGGGGAGGGGTGATGAGAAATTCGGCGGAAGAATTAAGAATAGCACTCGTCTTTATTCCTTGGGTGAAGAATGCGCGTAAACATCGACATGACTATACAAACACATACAACTCAGTGTGGCTGCGCTCGACGGAATATCGCGGAACTTGAAACCCCAACGGAAACCGCTGCGATGCCTCCCTCTCTCTCTCTCTCTCTCTCTCTCTCTCTCTCGTGGAACAACAACACGATTAACATTCTGACACAGAGAGACGATCGCGTCGCGTCGGCTGGGTGTGCGCACAGAGCACAGAAACATGCGTACAGATTCTCACTGCATTCTCTTCTGCAATTGTCAAACGTCGCTCGCCGAGACTAGGCGAAAGCGACCGAAGCCCAGCGACAATTTCCGGTGAAATCGGCGATCTCGTCAATCGCGTCGCAACCCTTCTCGCTCGCGGCCTCCAAGTGACCGGCAAAGAATATCCGCGCCAAGTTTCCGTCGCGCGTTTCAACTGAGCAGCAGGACAAGGATGATGATGATGCGTGTGCGTGGACGCGCATACGGTTGGGACAAGGACTTGCGGCTTTTTTGATTACCTCTCACCCTCTCACGACATCACGCCACTGAATCGTGACTCGCGCTCTGACCGCGCGCTCTCCGTCCGATAAAAAATAATAAGCGCGCCTCCGCGAGATGGAACGAGCCACGTCCCGACTGACTGACGTCACGCACGACCTTATCTACAAATTTCCGTCCGTGTCATCCGAGTCGAATGCATCACCTGCTGTCGCGGTCGACACACTTTGTGTGCTGCGCACAAGCGCGGCCTCACACGGCGCTCCTTTTTCTCTCTCTCTCTCTCTCTTTTGCCAGCTCTCGTCGTCTTTCTCCTTGTCCTCCTCCCCCCCTCCCCCCCTCCCCCCTTCGTACATACATTAATATCATAATACACTCGTACACGTTACTATTTACAAATCATCGTGCTATCTAAGATTGACAACGGACAATCACCGACAGAGAATAGTAAGTAGTAACACTTCGTATTTATTACTGAGTCCAGGGCGGGCAAAAATATCGATCGAGGTCGCTCGAGGAAGCGCGGCGGCCGCACGCACGTCTCGAGGGTACTCTAACTCGTTCGTCAAGTTTGTTCTTCCCTTTTATTTTCTTTTCTTTTTTTTTTTCTTTTCTTTTCTTTCACTTCTTCTTACTTCTTCGTTCGGAATGTTCTCTTTATTTCTATTTTGTGCTGAAAACTTTACAATTCGCTCCTAACCAGGACATTCGATAAATGCGCAATAAGTTGGCAATTCGTTACTGTCCGCGGAAAACTCGTGACACGCGCGTTGTCTCGCAAGACGACGAGCGCTTGTCTGCACGCGAATGCATTTCTTTATCGCACATCTCGCCGCGCAGGGTGGGATGCGTTATTCTCGACATCGAGCGTTATTCTCTCGCGCCCCTTTCAATGCCTACGTATATCTACATTTCGGTATTTTTACTAGGCTGGCCACTCGGATCGAGATTTCGTCGTCGTCGTCGTCGTCGTCGTCGTCATCGTCGTCGTCGTCGTCGTCGTCGTCGTCGTCGTCGGCGTGTACGTCCGCCGTAGAGCAGCACCAATCGTTACAAGCAGCACCAATCGTTAATAAACGCGAAAGTGCGATCGAGAGAGAGAGCCGACGAAGCCCGTCGGTGTCACTTCGTCGTTCTGTCCCATTTTCTTTTTTTTTTTGCTTTTTTTGCTTTCTCTTGATTGACGTTTCTTTCTAAACGTATACACGTAACTTAACGGTAACGTCGCGAATACATTGTCACTTGTCGGGCAAATTAACGTATCAGAACAATACATCGCGCGCAACGCAACGCAAGTGGCTGATATAAATCGCCGACTCGATAACAAACAGATCGGACTTGTATAAATATTTTCTTTTATTTCGTACTCGACTAATCGTCGATGCGAGAGAAACGATCTAAATTGATCCCGACGTATCACTGAAGCGCATCGATCGGCGTAAAGTAAACCGCATATCGATAAAGTAACGTACTTTAGCGTATCTTTATAAACGTATCTTTATAAAACATAACATATCGACAAATATCACTTGCGCACGCGGCGGAAAGGAAAAACGTTTGTCGGGACACTTGAGACGTACGCGCGTCTTCTCTCGGCGTCAATTCTTGCTTGATCGTCCGGCTAATTATTTAATTAGTTAATTATCTAAGTAACTAGTTGCAGCTTGTGCGCACTGTGAGTAATTTTATTAATGTAGGAACCGTTTCGAGGGCAGGGCGATCGTGACCCGCCTCGAAGTGACTCGATTGTGATTTTGCGTGTGTGTTTGTGTGTTTCCTTCCTTCTTTCTCTCGTGCGTTTCGTATGTACTTTGCGCTCCGCTCTCGTCCTCTCGCCGATGCTCCCGTGTCTCTCCTTTCCCTTTCTTTAGGACCGGAAATCCGTCCAAGCTTGAGCTACGTTTGAGCTGGACTAGTGTTCGCGAAAACGGAAGTCGTTGTTTTTCGAATTGACACTAGCCACACAGAGTGAACGTATTGTTCGGATTGTGGCGGCGCGATGCGTCTCACACGCGCGGCCGGTCGATTTAATTCGAGAGAGAAGATTGATTCGATAATACGAAAGAAAATAGAGTAGGAATTATTCGAGAACAGGTACTCACTGCGTATAATACTACTATCGTAAATTATTCGAAAATACCTCAATGAGCTTCTGCTTCTGACTAGATTCTGCGAACCCCGAAAATTCTCGACGAAACGACGTACTTATTATTAAATAGCGAGCACTCGTGTGCACTCCGGTTCGCGAAGAAAGGAATTCCCCCTCTCTTCCAGACGTCTCGTGAAAATTCACGTGAGCTTGTCGTGAGCATGAGTGTGTCGTCGGTTAATCGATAAATGCCACGTGGCTCGTTTCGCGTGCGAAACATGCGAAATTTATACCGTTCCTTTTCGTGAAAAAATAAATACAAATGCAAATTACTCGGGAGATCTCGTGCGCTGATCGAACGTACGTCGAGCACTGCACTTGAAAAGGAAGAAGAAGAGAAAAGGAGAACATTTATCAGCGACTCGAGGAATATGTCGCGATTTTGATTCCGCGAATGCGCGACACGCGCGAGTGTATCGCAAAAAAATGCACGATTATTGTCGGGAAAGTAAAGCTCACACTGAAACTTCCGCACGCGAGGTAACGTGAGTGCACACGAATCTCTTTCCTGCTTTCTAACGACGTCTAACGATGAGATCTTCTCGCAGAACTCGCAAGAAGGAACAATAATATTTAAATACTGAACAGTATGATAACCCGCATAAAACTCAGTTTCATGCTACGCTCGCGCTATTGCTATTACCAGAAAGCGGCGACTGCTTCGTCCCTGTCGCTCCCTCCCTCCCCCCCCCCTCCTCACTTCCTCCATTAATTAAAGCTCAAATTGTCTCAAGATTTTTAAACGCCACTATAGTAAATGATATTGCATATGTTTCGCGTTCCAATGTAGTTGCCGCACTAAGCCTTCTCCAAGTCCGACCACGGCCGATCTCTTGCAGTTTGCTCCTCTAACGAGCTGCGCTTCCTTAAACTTCTAGTCCTAGATCCACCGATTGTCCCCTCTCAACCAGTTGCTATCTAGCAACAGTCATCATCTACAAACAAATCGTCCTCCCCTCCCCCCCTCAAATGCCTCGTCTCAGCGTTGCAAATAATAGCGTTTCGAACAATTGATACGTTACATTCGAATCCCCGTCTCTCAGCAGACACAATCGTGTTGAAGTGAACCGAAGAACGAGGTTCAATAATTTATTTACAAGCTTGTCCTTAATCCGCCGGGAATCGTCATTAATTTTCGTCAAATGCTAATTTAGCGAGTGCAACAACGATCCCTCTCGATCGTTTAAACAATAAAATTTTAGTTGGTCTTTCTTGGTTGGTCCTCTAGAGTACGTAGTTGTCCACCCTACCTAGTCGAAAGATCATTCGGTGGTTCTGGGACATCGCGTATTACGTACCAAGACTCGTACTCTCGACGCACATTTCGTAGCAAATTTGCGATATCGATAGTCCTCAAATCGAGCATACGTACGAACGAAACTTTCAGCCGAAACTTGATTCTCTTTGGTTGCTAAATGTGCGCGGAGAATTGAGTTTTTTCTGGACAAGCGGACAAGCGGCGCCATCGTACCCCATTCTCTCTGATACACACGTCGTTGCATCTTGTTTTCTTTGACAACACATCCGCCATACTCACAAAAACAGTTCCCTCAAATTCTTACAAAACATCACACATTCGTCACCGAAGAGATCTCGTCGCGATATCGTCGTGACCTCGCGAGCTTGCCACGGCCGTCCTCGCGAGATCACCCCTCTCTCTCTCTCTCTCTCTCTCTCTCTCTCTCTTTCTCTCTCGTACTTTTCGCCCGGAAATGGAGTGTGTAGAAACGTTACTTTGGAAGATTCGACAATTAGGCACATTTACACACACACACACACACAGACCTGCCCCCCCCCCCCCTGAAGAAACCGGAAAGAAAGAAGAGAAAAGAGAATATCACGAGTAACTCTTCCTCGCGCACCATCGAACGCTCGTTAATCTCTCCGAGAATTTCGCTCGTCCCTCTCGTTCGTCCACTCTCATCACCCCCTCATCACACATCTTTCTCGATCGAGTCGAAATCGACTTCGCACTTTGCTTTGCCGCGCTCCTCCAGGAGCTCCCGAGTCGTCCTCTCGAGCTCGCGGGAAGCCAGCGAGGACATCGCGCGTCTCCTCCGCGACACGGAGGGTAGTCTTATTAACACCCTCTTCAGGGTGGCTCGAGTGGTCGCGAAACGAGGACGCGCGCACACGGCTGCCGTCCGATTTTCAGGCCGCCTTCCTTCCTCTCTTCTGGACGCGAGCGCAACACGCGCCCCCTTCACGTTGCCCCTGCCGTGCGCGCTCTTCGGCAACGGCCTATCGCTCTATCGTGGAAGAATCGGAATCGTTTGTAGCAAATTGAGCAACGTGTCGGGCGGACTCGCGCGCGCGCGCGCGCGCACACACACACACACGCACACGTACGCGCGCGCACGGAACTGCCCGTTGGCCGCCGGAAGAGCCTTTCGAACGTTTCCCCCGGGCGATTCCCTCCTCAGGTGTTGCGGAAACTCTGCGAGCGCGCGAGGTCGTGCTCGCGCCACGAGCTGGTCGTGCACACGCCATCGCCTCGCCACCACTCGTTCACGTCCTTATAGTACTTGGCCGGCCGGTCGTCGTGCAGCATCGCGCACATCCGGCACCAGAAGTACGTGTTGATGAACTCGCCGGTGCCCTTCCAGCGGAAGTACGAGTTGTACAGCTCGTCGTCGCGGTCCAGCCGGTGCAGGTATTCGGCCAGCTCCTTCGGCGACTCGAACTCGTCCACGTGGATGTACGAGCGGTACGGTGCGCTGTGCGCGTAGTCGGTCGGGTGGGCGCCCATCACGATCGGCAGCACGTTGTGTCTGCGTTGTCGGAGAGAGAGAGGGCGGGGGGAGGGGGAAAGAAAAAGACAGATAAGAACACCTGATAAGAGCGATAATTGCACGATCGCGTCACGGAACGAGCAGTCACACGTCACACGCGCGTCACGCTCGCGGGAGCCGCGATCTTAACGATCTTAATTAATGCCGACTGGGACAGAAATTTCGCGTTGATTTCAGTGTTATGAATTTTTATGAAAATGCTCGAAAATTTTTATCCAAAGTACATTACTAGGGGTTTTCGAGGTCGCTCTTTTCGAGTGCGACGCTGCGAGAATCATAAAAAAATGAGTGTTTGTATTGATTTGTAACGGTTTTTTTTTTTTCCAAAAAATGAGATTTTTTCTCGTCAATTTTTTTTTTATATCATGGATTTCATGTTGATAAAAATGTTGAATATTACTGAAGAGTACTCCAAACGTGTCCGCGAGACTTGTAATTTCAAAAATACATATCTGGACGTAAAATTTTCAAATCTGTAATAAAAAATATAAGTTTTGCACCAAAGAATCAATGTTGGGCTCCGTTAGGCCCAGCAAGTACATCGGGCCCAAATTTCGGGCCTACCACGTGAAAGAACTCGATCGACAGGACAACTTTTATTTCGAACAATTTTTCATAAAAATGCACTCATAACGAGTTATTCGACCGAGTTATTCCCAAGCGATCCCCGGCGATATCTATGATGGCCGCCATATTGAAATTACTACATTGCAAAAAATTTCAGAGCCACATATACTTGAAGTACAAGTCTCGAGGACACGATTGGAGTACCTTTCAGTAATATTCAACATTTTCATCAAGATGAAATCCATGATTTAGAAAAAAATTGACGAGAGAAAATCGCATTTTTTGGAAAAAACCATAACAAATCAATACAAACACTCATCTTTTTATGACGCTCTCGCAGCGGATTCGGAAAGAGCGACCTCGAAAACCCCTAGTAATGTACTTTGGACAAAAATTCTCGAGCGTTTTCATAACAAAAATGCATAACATTGAAATCAACGCGAAATTTCCGTCCCAGCCGGTTCATTCATTAACGGGTTAATGAAAATCGCGCGAGACGCACGCGGTCTCTGTCTATCACGCGGGAGATTAGGTAACGCGCGATTACCTGCCACGCGACCACTTTGCACGCCGCGGCGGCGGCGCGGCGGTCGCTCGAAGGCCGGCGACCTCCGAGCGAGAAGTGAGCGCGATCGTGCATCGCGTTCGCGACTCGAAATACCGCCGATCGGCGCCGAGTGGAAAGAGTGAGCGCGCGCGTACCCGAGTCCGTTGACGAAGAACTTCTCCGTGATGTAGTCCCTGCAGTTGGAGTTCTCGAACGCGAGGTAGAACTTGTAGTCCTCGTCGAGCATGTCGAAGCAGGTCTGCGACTGCGAGCGCGGGCAGCGCAGGCTGCCGCACGCGCCGTAGATGTCCACCTGGATGTACTTGGACAGCTCCCTGGCGTAGTGCATGCGCTGGTTCCGCGGATGGCAGTTGGAGACGAACCAGGCGACCTGGTTGAACAGCAAAGCGGAAGAGCGCGAGTGTCGGAGCGTGCGGTTCGTTTATCCCCTACCGGGAGGATGGACGGAAGGCGCGGAATCGACGTGAACGAGTCGAGCGCGTTTCGAAGCTGAAGATAATGGAGTTTCCCGCTAGTCGGTGGCGAATTCGCTCCGAATTTGCTCCGAATTTGCGGCGAGCGGAGATTCTGTTTCCCTCGATCGAGAGGACGCGCTCGCTTCGTTTATTCAAGCCAATTTCTCTCTCCGTGCGAAAACGCGCGCGCGGCGCGCCGAAAACGGCGGCGCGATATCGCGCGCCTCTCTGTTCCGACGTGTATTATTCTTCGGCGAAGAACAACACATGCGACGCGCGACGCTCCGAGGAAATCTTTTCAATCCTGCCGCGAGGAAAAAAAGTTGGGCAAACTGTAGCAGCGCGACGACGAACGACGAGGCGAGAGCTCGCTCTCGGTCGAAGGAAATGCCATTTCCGGCTTGCAGGATTCAATTTGAATTTCGCTCATTGTCGCGCGCGCTGTCGCGTCAATGCGATCGTACTTTTTTTTTCGCCGTACTTGTCACCTCCGCGCTGTCACTCGTCTCGCGTTACTCGTGTAACGCGCAAAGCGATGCTGCATATGCATCTGCTAGAGTACTCATACTCCGTCGCTCCGAAAGGGAAAGAAAAATCCTCCATTCTCTCGCCGACACGGTTCTGTCTCGCGAGCGATAACAACACATTTGTGACTCTCTCTCTCTCTCGCGCGCGCGCGCGCGCGCGAGTCAGTCGCACTCCTCTTCTCCCCTTTACCTTTTTCGTCTTGTTGGCCGCGTAATTAAATGTTTGCGGAATCTGCGTGACACTCGAGTCGTAATATTGCCACCTCTCGTAGGGCGCCACTATGTCGCTGTCACGTCGATACGTGGCCGTCCAATTGATAAGAGCGTTCTTCACGCTTTGCGTGTGATAAGGGCATTCTAAAAAATACAGCATCCACACCTGCGAAAAATCACGTGATCCTCAGTCGGGACAAGGAATCGTCTGTTCCGCGGCGCGTTATGAACGAAGCTTTATGATCGCCGAGCAGCGAAAGCGACGTGATTTCTTCGCCGTAGAGCGCCATAGAGGCGATATTATACCGGCGGTTGCCTGATCGGCGTACCTGATTGTGCGGTCGCCGTCCCACGTGCGTGATGTAATCCTTAAATAGAATGAGATCGGCCTCGTCCGGATTGTCGCGAACAATCGTGCAGGTATTCACCGGGCAGCGTTGCTGGAAGAAAATGTCAGGACCGGCTTTAGCCTCGGACATACCATGAGGAACCATTATCTTCTTCAGAGGATGCTCGCCGCCTGTTCTATTGTAGTCGGGTGGCACGAACATTAGCTGCAACGATAGTTGCGACATTAGTGTGCCGTTACCTTTCGGCGAGTCGGACACCTCAGCGCCAAAGATCAGTATCGGTTCCGCGAATGAGATGCTCGAGTTACCACTGAAAGCAGCTAAATCATCCTCACCGAGGCTCGCGCGCAAAATTGCGAGGAGCTTCGATTTTCCGCGAAATGCTCGTCGAGACACAAATTTTCCCGCTAACGCTTAAGCACCTTAGAATCCTGCAGAATTCGCAAGCGTCAGGTCTCAATTGCAGCTCGGACATAGTCGGGCGAGATTAATTTCTGATCCTCGACCGGACAGTGAGGAATCGATGATGACGGGGAAGAAGAGACAAATCATCGGCTAACGCGTAAGGTAAAAGTCCCCAATAACCACCGGACACGTCCCAATGTCTGATCACTTTGAAAAAAAATATTTACAATTTACTTTAACAATAATGAATAAAAGTAATAATTATTGTAAAAGAAAGTCCAACATTTGACGACGATCAGTTGGAAAACAGATATACCCAATTTGATACTTTTAAAAATTAATTGTATAAGTATGCACCTATGGTTTGGCAAAATAATGGTCGGTCGTTGATAAATTCATCAAGAGATAGTATCTACAGTTGTATTATTTCCCGTTAGCACATACTAATTTTCTGATTGCGGTCAGACACTGGGACAAATCGTATCCGAACATTGGGCCGTAAGCTACTTCAACTGTTCCGATACATTAATGCGCTTCATTACTTGTGTGTAAATATCTCATTAATAATAGATATATACATTGGTCTGAATCATGTTTCTCTACTTAACCCTACTTTAACGCCCGACTTTTTTTTACAAGTGTTTTAAGAATAAAATTTGAGTTTTTTTCAACTGAGACTATAAGTAGTGATGACCAAAAAAAAAATATCAGAATTTTATATCTACGAAAAATTACGGAATTTTCTGACGTATCAAATGACTCTTGATTTTTTTCAAAGCGTCTTCTTGTATTTTTGTTTACTGTTTATTGGTGAATATGACTTGGATCCTAAAAGCATGTACGAAATGAGCAACCTATACGGAGAAAAATGAAGGATAAATCTATACGACATAACTCTGATAGTCAGCTTGACATTTTTCAGCTGAAGTTTTACTATATTCGTGAGTGAAGTTTATCATTCAGAGCGTCAAGCTTACTATTTCAGAAGAATATCTTATAGATCACCATTTATAGATAGTCAATCGTCCCTTCACTTTTCGCCACATAAAAAAGGCCGCTGTAGGTCACTGCAGGTTTCACGAAAATAGCTTGATTTCTTCACTTTCGTGTCCACCATATTGGACTCGCCATTTTGAATTTCTGTATTCTTTTGATTTCACATTTTGCATCTGCTGAGAAAGCTTCCAAATGTAAAATGTACAAAATTATAACAGATACCAATCTATTAATTTATAACGCACTTCTAGATGTCAGTAACAATGCCAACTATGCCTATTTGGAATTTATCAAAACATGTTATCATTAAAACTGAGCTAAAAACAAACTAAACCGAATCTACATACAACCTATATATACGATCTTTTAGACGAAGAATTCACCTTTACAGTGGTGCGAAGGAAACGAAAATATCTCCTTTTTTTGACCAAGTTATGGAAGTTCTTAAATGCGTTTCTGATAACTATAGTTACCAGTAGGCGTTAAAGGGTTAAGGGATCTGAGGTTTTCGAATAAATGCAAATATTTATATGAAAACTATTCTTAATATTATATATTGTATTTTTTGTGACGACCTACGCTTAAACGTCCGATTACTGGGACATTTGCCGCAAACTCGGCGAATCCGCGGAAGCACGATTGCGTGCGAATTACCTGATTCGTCACGCGATCATCGTAAGCGTTCTCCTCCGGCCACAGTTGAGCCAGCCGTCGGCCGGTGCTGCGGGCCCTTATCGCCGGAAAGGGTCTCCTGGATCCTCCTTTCATATACCAAGGCCTTCGCGACGGGTCCAGGGAATCTATCGTGTTCTCGGCGAAGTTGGCGGTGCCGTTTATGTTCAGTACCTTCCAATGAGAAAGAGAGACGCACGTGTAAATAAAAATCCAGCGCGACTGGCGATCCTTGCGTCACATCACACACCGCCATTCTCCGCAGCAACTAATGAAAACGCTATCGCGACACACGCGCTCTATCGCCGTCTCTTCCCAAGCTCGCTATTTCACGAACAACGTTGCATTCGGCAAACTTGACAATGCTTGCGGCATCGATGATGATATCTCGGCGTCAGTGACCTATTTTCACTTGACCTACACTTTTACGCTGTTTACCGCGCTTAATTAGTCGCATGCGCTTACTCAGGAGGTCGTCTCAATCAAGCGATCTGATAATATAAAATTCAACCGCTCATCAGATATCGTTCTTTCTTAAGGGGACTGGAGGGTCAGATTACTGAAAAATCGTGCTTGTGTTTGATAATGATTTTGTGACGAACCGAATAAATGTGCAAGAATGAAAATTTTACATACACTTATATAACATACGAAGAGTAGAAAAATTTTGTTTTCAAACAGATACTCGTATAAATATACGTCCATTTAAATTTTAAACGCGTTTCTCTCGAAATTTTATTGTTCAACTTTTTGCAGTGATTTCACCGAAACTGAGCTTCGTATCGATTTGAAATTTTAAAGCAATGATACTTGTTCATGTGGCTCTCAGGTGAACCATGGACAATTCCGTCAAAATATTTCATTTCGAGATATTAATTTTTTTAAATTCAATTGTAATTAATTTTATTGTAAAAGAACTGAAAAATTTGAATTTTTTCCTAATAATAGCTGTCATTTTGCTCGATTCTTTTTTCTAATAGTTCACCGGATAATGATAAGCCTCCTCAAGATTTCTAGCTAAAATTCGCTCTGATCGGACCACCGAGAACCGAGATATTACCGCAAAAACGACAACTTGAAGAAAAAAAGAAGACTATATTTCAGCTATATATATCGTATATTTATACGAGTATTTGTTAATAAACAAAATTTTTCTACTCCTCATATGTCGTGTAACTATACCTAAAATTTTCATTCTTGCACATTTATTCAGTTCGTCACAAAATATTATCAAAAACAAGCACGATTTTTCCGCAATCTGACCCTCCAGTCCCCTTAAGTATCGTCTACAATGGCAGTAAGCAGTAAGAAGTAAGCGTAAACGGTAAGAAATAAACCAACCACGGTCGATTATGACAAAAATAATCAACTGTGATTGATCCAATTCTTACCGTTCACGCTTACTTCTTACTGCTTACTGCCATTGCAGACGACGCTTCACTCGCTCGCGACTACGCCATTGTCACGCTTAGCCACGATCGACGGCAGCTGCCTATTGCGCTATCGTTATCGGCAGACCTGTGGAAATGCATGCGACTAATTGCGCGACAACTGATCCCAAGCGTGGTGGTAGTATATTATGCGTATATTATGCGTGCGTGAACATTAAAGCGTCGAACATTTGCTTCGACACGTATCTTCACACGATGGAACAAACACACGTAACACAGCGAAAGAGAGTATCAAATCTCGATGCAAAGGCCTTCTCATCCCCGATCGAAGCGATTGAAAGATAAGACGGATACTTCGCTACAGGCAGCTAAGCTATTAAAAGCCATCCTAACGTGTACCGTGTGATATGAGGGTTCTCTATCGTCTGGATACTCGGTGAAATGTGAATCGCCCCTGTGTAATTTTTTTTCTATCGATTAAACGTCCTAACGGGGGTACTTTGGCGGGCTATCTCTATAGACGCGTTAAGGACAAGCTATTACAGTGCTCCGAATAAGCTCCGTCGGATCCTACGAGGTGTATCTGACGACTGCATCTAAAACTCATTGAAATTCGCCGATGTTGGAGCGAGGTTTCCGCTTAATTTATTCCCAATGGCCGAACTATGTCACGACTCGATTATTATTCATATTTTATTCGGAACATTACTCGCCACTCAGTGTACACTCGACCAGAGATTGCTGCATGATGTTGACGTTACGATGAGAGTTGGCCGGAAAAAGAAAAAAGAAAAAGAAAAGAGGAGGTCGCCAAGTTTACAGAAGGAACGCCCGCGTCGTACTTTGCGCGTTGAAGACGCGAGAAGGACAAGCGAGACGACACATGGGATAAGTAATAACAAATAGCAAACAGGCTCGTAACGCGCCCGAAAACACGATCTAAAATTCTTTTCTCTTTCTTTGAGAGTACCTTTCACCGTGCGCATGTCCGTTTTTCTGTAATTAACAATCGACGCTACGTTTTAATGACTGTACCTCGGACGGAAGTCTGTTCTTCACTCGCTCCCGAGTGCGTAATACTCGCATGGTCGGCTTCTTCGATTTCAAAGGCCAATCGGGTTTCATCTGCGAGCGAAATTTGTCTTTTATTCCCTTAGCCGTCATTTGTTTTAATCGTCCCTCTCTCTCTCTCTCTCTCTCTCTCTCTCTCTCTCTCTCTCTCTCTCTCTCTCTCTCTCTCTCTCTCTCTCTCTCTCTGTCTCTCTCTCTCTCTCCCTCTCTCTCTCTCTCTCTCCCTCTCTTTCTGCTTCTTTATCGGATTAATCTCAAAGAGAAAACTTACTCATACGCTCAATACCACCGGCATTCGCGATAAAACGATAAATTTCGATTTTCTTCCCAGTTTATCAATCTGTATAATATCAAACGACTGCATATTATCACGTATTAACGTACAATTTGCGAGATGATATTTAACAACTGACGTTTCGTGCATTTTCTTCTCCGAAGCAACATTGGCCTATCCGAGACGAAATTTGAATTTTACGGCTGAGAAATCCTTTAAAATCTGTCAAACTTGAGGAACCAACGGAGGAATCTCGAGGTGTAACGCTTGTTACAACTTTTAATGCTACATAACTTATTATAACTTCTAATATTACATAATTACGTGAAAAAGTTTAGCCGTTCCGAAACTCTTATAATCAGCTTCTACACCATACTGACGTAATTGACGTAGAAAATTAACGTCTAAGATGTTGTACAGGTAGCAGTCGATTTTGTTACGAATACACAGACGCGCGCACGCGTATGTGTATGTGTGTGTAGATGATATTGGAAAATTTTTAAATATGATAGAAATATAAGCACTGCCGTGCGCAATAGAAAGCGCAGGATTTAATACGGGCCGAGCTTTTAGGAGATAGATTTAAAATTCTCTCTACAATTCCTCTGTTTAACTGTTTTAGTCTTTAATTTTGCAACTTCGTGACGCACTTGCAATTTTAGAGTCTTAAAAATTATTAATTGCACAACACACACGAACGTGATGAATATCATCAGAAAACATGTGTTAAATAACGTATTAAATAATAAAGTATTATAATATAAGATATTTTATTTATTGTAATAAGGAACGCGTTAAACACGAGTCGTATAATGTTATTGTGTGTTGTTTCCTTGTGCCCAAGTATGTTATCGTTTCGAACGTTGATTCGACCTCGACCTTTGCAACAACAACACATATTAGCAAGTTGTGTTATTCGAGATCATAACAATCTTCGACGGACGGGCGAGCAGGACGGAATATTTTCGATTATTATTAAACTGACCGGAGCGTGCGAAAAGATGAATTGCGACTTTTCGCGAGTACAATGACACGTGCTAACAACATCGTGGACTGTGAGAATATATTATTATTTAAAAACTAACACATGTCGGTAGATTTCGTATAGTCTTCGACGCACGGGCGAGCCCGTCGGATGACGCAGCGCGTTTCTCCCGATTATTTAAAATTTATCGGTGTGTGCGAAAAATAAATTATGACATTTCGCGAGTGCAAGCATAGTGCCAGCAACATCGTGGACTGTGAGAATATACAGTTATTTAAAAACTAGTACGTGTCGGTAGATTTCGTATAGTCTTCGACGCACGGGCGAGTCCGTCGGATGACGCAGCGCGTTTCTCCCGATTATTTAAAATTTATCGATATGTGCGAAAAATAAATTATGACATTTCGCGAGTGCAAGCATAGTGCCAGCAACATCGTGGACCGTGAGAATATACAGTTATTTAAAAACTAGTACGTGTCGGTAGATTTCGTATAATCTTCGACGCACGGGCGACCTGGCGGAGTTGGACGTCACTGCAATGGTAAGTACTCATTCAACGCTCATAAACAGCTACTTCATGTAGTGTGCATGCCGCAGATTCGCACTGATTTCCGACGATAAGAATGACGCGTTGCTCTTTGAGATTGTACGCAGGTAAGATTGCATAATGTATAAACAGTCCGAAACGTTAAATAATCCTCAAACGAGTGTGTCTTCCTCGCGTATCACTAAATAAATATACTCTGATACATCGGTAAGTAAATAAAATACTCGTCAAACACTCCACGAATAAGTGCGTCAGTGTGAGTAAAAAGAAAACAAAAAAAAAGACGGCAAGGAGTAACCGCGTGCAGCGTCGTGGCAGGACAATAGCTTGCGCAATAATGTTTTGTCTCGAGATTCTCCGTTGATCCTCCAAGCATATCCGGCGGCATTTTGCGAGACTGATACGGAGGGAAAATTCGCAATTGCAGCGGCGCGCGCTTGTCGCCGCGACTGCAACGTCCGGCGTTGCAGAAATAATCGCAGGCGCGAGCTGTGTGTATGGGTGAGCCGTTAGCGGGGGTAGTGTGTTTGCCTCGCATCCTTCGCGGAAACACGCGTTGTCAGACGACGACGAGGCTCGTTATCATTGTTAGCCGGGCGGACGAACAAAAATTTAAGCGCACACGTACCTTCGGCCCATCGGCGCCGGCAGTTCGAGCGGACTGCGGCTGGCCGGGATGCGGTCGCATGCTGTGCCATATCTCGTCCTGCAGCAGGTTTAGTAGAACCAGCAGCGTACCCGTCAGACATAGCACGTAGAAAAAGTATCTCTTGAGGGAGAAGCGCGGCATACCCATGCCGCCCCCCGGGTTCTCCTCGGCTGGGCGAAACTTTTATCTAGCCATGCGCCACCGCGATCCGCCGCCGCAACATTCGGCTACGCTGTAACGAAAGTTGATGAGAGAGAGAGAGAGAGAGAGAGAGAGAGAGATGAAATGAGGGAAATTTGCAGGCGAGAGTTGGCGCGCGCGACGGGAGCGCGTTGCGAGCAAAAGTTGAAGCTCCCGCGGCTCTCTCGCGGCGCTCCGCTCCGAGAAATTCTATTAAAAGAAAATGTGGCGCGGCTGTGTGAAATATTCCTCGCGCGACACGCTTCTCGCGATTATTCCCTTGGTTCGCGTCACTCGGTTTTTTGCGATACACCGAAGATTCGAGCGCGTTGTTTTCACACGCGCGAGCGTGTAGATTCGGAACTGATTTATCTAACTCGATTTAATCTGACGCGATCGAACGATAGGAAGCTGATTATCAAGTTTTCAAGAGCCGCGTTGGTCGCACATCCGCGGATACGCGGTCGAGCGAGGCAAGGGCGAGTCTTGGATGAAGATTTGTATTTTTCTCAACAGAAACGACAATGCGACGCGACAACGCACTTCCTCGTGCATGCTTCGCGCGAACATTCGCGCGCGCGCAAGAGATAAGCTATCAAAGTGCAGCGAGATAATGCGATAAACTCGCTTAACCTTCTTGATTTCCGCATGTGCGAGCAGATATTTCATAATCGCGCAGCGTCATAATTACCGTATACGCGATAATTCGTATTACTTCACCTCGCATTCCCGCGCAAACTTCCGAGAGCGCTCGGCGCCGCCGGTCTTCGTCGGCAAAATTAACAGACGCACATTAACGCGGATTAACGGCGCACATCCACACGCGCACTGAGAGAAAGGTATATGATGTTTGGAACTATAATGATATAGTAACTAAATTATAGTCCGAAATATCATATTTATAGTAAGTATTAGCATAATATCGGTAATAATTACGATATAGGCATAGTATAACCAAGCATGTAATATTTTTACTAAGAATTATAGTAAGTTAAACTAAAATTATTCTATGGATACAAATTCATAAAATGGTAGGTAAAAGTAACTCTTTTATATAGTCAATATTACCAGAATATTTGCTAAATGATGACAGATGTAACTATATGAATATTAAATCTCGCTATATTTGTGAATGAGAAATTACCATATATGTGGTAAAAAAGTAACTAAACAATTATTTCAGACAATCATTGACTATATATTTGTATTTATTCTACTATATTTTGCAGGTTCCACGAACCTGCAGCCACGAATAAAAATATGGTTGACGCCAAAATGAACTATAAAATATAGTGAGATTATAGCGAATCCAACTATATATTTTTTTATCAGCGCGGCTTAACTGAATTGCTACGCGCTTCGCGCGGCACGTCGAGTCTCTCTCTCTCTTCGATTATTCACCGGGCTCGGGGATGAGCCTCGTCCACTTGACTGAACTTCGAAAAAATATCGAGCGCGGAAACCGGCGGTTCTTTTTCTCTTCTTTTTCGTCGATTTAATTAGAGACTCGCTGCCGGCGCGGCGCGGCGCGGCGAGTCCGCGACTCGCAGCGCTATGCTTTCGCGCACGGATAACGCGCTCTCCCCGCGATTCCTCGTTACGACGACGAGTGCCCTCGCGCCGCTCGCGCCGCGTCGTTACACTCGCAAGAGGTTACCGCTCTCGCGAAATCCGCCGATATCCATTAGATTAATTACACCGCGGCGGGCGCTATTCAGCTTATACGCTCGGCAGCGGCCGTCGCCGCCGCGTCGCACGCCCTCGAGCAATCGATGCGACCTGCGAGCATTGATTTGCATCTGAACAGACAAGGCGCATGATAGCCGCACAGGCTATCCTCTTGATACCTGCGCGCGCGCGCTTATCCGTTACGTTCTTCGAATTATGTACGCTGCTCACGCGCCGGCTCCGTTGCTCCCGTTAACTATATGTGTATCCCGGCAAATATCATCTTCACCTTTCCAACAGACTCACTCGCTCTCTTTCTGTTTCTCTCTTGCTCGCTCGCTCGCTCACTCGCTCGCTCGCTCACTCTTTCTCTCCTCCAGCCGCTCCTCTCTCGCGCGTGGCTGCACGCTCTTTCCTTTCTTCTTGCTCGCCTGCCTGCTCGCTTCACATACGGCGCACATCGCCGTCTAATGACTGCGTTACGATACGGTACGGTCGACTTATAATCTCATTACCATTCCTCACGACCATTTTTCGCCGCGTCTTACCCGTTAAATTCGCGCCGATCTCTCGGCTCTCTGGTGATACGCGCCGCCGCGTTTGTCCCGGGACGATCATCGCCGCCGCGACGCGATCTCTCCTTTTATTCTCTTGTTCTCGCTGAAAAGCAGAGACAAAGAGAGAGAGAGGGAGAGAGAGAGAGTCCTGATCTATTATTATGTATTTTGTTTTTCCTTCTCCGCCGCCGTGTTTTTCGCCGTTGTCGGTCGCTTATTTATGTTTGGCTCTTTCGACGCACCTCTGCGACTATATGCAAAGCTAACACACGAGCAGCCTTTGTTGTAGATTGCCGAGGTACGATTCCGCTTATTTTATTCCCGTCGTTATTACCACTCGCGTGCGCACATGCCTCCTCCGTCTCATTTTTGTCTCCTCGGTCTGCATGCGAGATGCATTCGATTCATCTTGCCGTGTACTTTGCACTTTCTTCTGCGTCCGATGGCGTTTATTCCGTCTCAAATTTAAACGGAAGTGCAATAGAACGTTTTTTTCTTTTCTCAGTCTCTCTCTCTCTCTCTCTCTCTCTCTCTCTATATATATATATATCTCTACTTTTCTTCATGTAATCATCGCCAATCCGTCGGAGCGAATTCACGAGAGTCCAACGTCCAGCCGTGGTGTCGCGCGCGCGCGTATCAAAGGTCACGGCGATCGTAGAGGCCGAAATCGCGCACGCACATCTACGTCATCGTCGTCTCTTCGTCGTCACTCACTCGCGCCCACGCTCTTTACGCGCGCGCTTCACGCTCGCGCGCGATCCGCGAAATGTTGTGGAAAATCCGGCATGCCAGTTACCAGGACGCTTCGACCGCCCGTCCGGCCGCTCGGAGGACTCCCGCTCGTCGGGGAGCTCACACCCATTCTCAGTCGGCGCCGAAGGCATCGTCCTGGCCGCTCGTGAAAAGGTGAACGACGGATTCGCCGCGTTGCAACACGCTCCATCTCGGAGCCGCGATAAAGTTCACCTTCGCCGGATCGGCCGGAGCGACACGGCGCGTACACGTTTAACCCTTTAACGCCTACTGGTAACTATAGATACCAACTAGACTATAGTTACCAGAAACGCACTTAAGAATTCATAACTTGGTCAAAAAAGGAGATATTTTCGTTTTCTTCGCACCACTGTAAAGGTGAATTCTTCTTCCAAAAAAATGATATATAGATTGTATGTAGATTCGGTTTAGTCTGTTTCTGGCTCAGTTTTAATGATAACATGTTTTGATAAATTCCAAATAGGCATAGTTAACATTGTTACTGACATCTAGAAGTGCGCTATAAATGAATAGATTGATATCTGTTATAATTTTACATTTTACATTTGGAAGCTTTCTCAGATGCAAAATGTGAGATTGAAAGAATACAGAAATTCAAAATGGCGAGTCCAATATGGTGGACACGAAAGTGAAGAAATCAAGCTATTTTCGTGAAACCTGCAGTGACCTGCAGCGCTTTTTATGCGGCGAAAAATGAAGGGACGATTGACTATCTATAAATGGTGATCTATAAGATATTTTTCTGAAATGGTAAGCTTGACACTCTGAATGATAAACTTCACTCACGAATATAGTAAAACTTCAACTGAAAAATGTCAAGCTGACTATCAGAGTTATGTCGTATAGATTATCCTTCATTTTCTCTCTATATAGGTTGCTCATTTCGTATATGCTTTTAGGATCCAAGCCATATTTACCAATAAACAAAAAAACGAACGATAAAAAAAACCGATATAAAATTCTGATCTTTTTTCTGGTTATCGCTACTTATAGCATATAACTCAGTTGAAAAAAAGAACTCAAATTTTATTCCTAAAACACTTATAAGAAAGTCGGGCGTTAAAGAGTTAACCGGGAAAGTTTGAGTACGCCGCGCGTATAACACGCATTCCGCCGTCTCGCCTCGGAATTTCGCCGGTATTTTTCCTCGCGGCCGCCGCGCCGCTCTCCCTCTCCTGTCCGCGGCTCTTTTGCACAAAGGGGGATTTTGTGCGCGACAAAGGGTTAATTTCAGGCTGACTTGACGCGGCCGGCAGGTGCTCGCGCGAGCGCTCGCGGCTCCATGCAAGGAAAGAGCGGGAGAGAAAGAGAAGCGTGTAGCTCGATACGTCTGTGCGGCGGTGTTATCGTTGTGATAAATTTCTCTACGGCGAGCGTACGTAACGTGCAATAGTAATTTACTCGTGAGAGGAGGAGGAGAAGGAGGGGGATAAAAAGAAACTGCTCTCGTACCTACATGACGAGGTCGCGCGCCCTCTCTCTCTCTCTCTCTCTCTCGTCGTCGTTTTTCAATCCTCCGGAGAACGTCCCGAAGCCGGCGCCGACGAATTGAAAGCGTAAATAATGCGGTGGGCTTTTGCACTTCTCTCCTCCGCCGGGGAGCTGTATTTCCTCGCGTTAAAGCCGTCGCTCCATCGGCAAAATTGCGAGCCGCGCGATGTTCACCGATGTGTTAGAAGGCGCGCGAAGGGACGCGCGTCGATTGAAAACGCGCCGCGCCGCCTTTTCTCGCTGGATCTCCGCTTATTGTCCGCCGGGCGATCGACGGACTCGTCGCTCTCGTCGACTTCCGCTTGTCCACATCGCTCCTCCTGCCGAACGGCGAACGGGTGGCCGAAACTCGGACCGGCGAGACGTGCAAGTCACTCGGCGGAACGACGGAACAGTCCGCCGCCCATCCACGCGCATCTCCGGCGTCTTTTTTTCTTTTTTGTCACTTATCTTCCATTCGCACGGAAGTGTTAAATCCGCTCTCGCTCGCACGCGCTAACATTGCCGCAAACCTGCGCGCCGACCGACCGCTCGCGTATCACTGCCCATCGCGGCCGCG